TATTGTAGGCATTTTTTATTCGGGTGCCACCGATGCCACTCAAGTGTCACGGTATGCAAGGCCCACCGGTCGTGCGATGTGCTCTTTCAGCAGAGACCGTACCGACTGGCATTTCGCGACCGCTGACCGTTTTAAAGACTGTACGGCCGGCAGCGGGCGGTCCGGTCCTCGCCTCCGGCTAATTGAGGGGGAGACCGCGACAGGGGACCGCGCGTCCCCTGTCCCGTTGTGTCGGCTCGCAGAGTGCGGACGGGTGTGTTGAGTGTGTTGTGTCCAGTGTCGTCTGACGTCTCCTTCTCCGACTATGAAGGTTTCCGCCAATTTCTGCTGTGTGACAATCAGAGCATTAATCCTAGTTATTGCAATGCTAGACCAAAAAACCGGCGCTGAAACGTTCACTTCAAAATGGCGGCGGTCACCATCGTCACTCATTTGCCAGCGGCAAAGGGGAAAAGTGCTGCTGGTAGCGTCATGTAGCGGGCCCAGGTAACGGTATATAAAAATAGATTCAGGGGACATGCGTGATGCTAAATGCACTTACGTAAGAATTTATCATCTAAGCTGAAAATGGCCTTTGTCTTAGTTCTTGGGCCGGAATTAAATAGCCGGCATTAACGTAACGTAAACGGAAGACCTGGCCAATTGCCAGCTATTAACTTTCCCCCTCCCCCGGCTATAGCCTCATGGCTTGCCGGGAGGACAAAAAAAAAAATTGAACTGAATGTACTTGAAGGCCCAATTTATTACCGCTGTTACATAGGAACCTCCGCTTTGTTACAGGAGTGCGAGGCTCGACGAGCGACTCAACCGCAAGATGGCGGAGACTGAGCGGCGGCCGACGACGTGTGACGTGATGTGTGAAGTGTAGCTGACTCAAAAAGGTGAAGAGCTGTGCATATATCTTGGAATTGCAGTTTTCCCCGAATATTGACTGTGACGGTGACGCTGGAATATTTTAGGTAGCTCTCTTTCTAACCGATGACTGTTACATGCGGGTTCCTGCGACGGTTGGCGGTTCTCTTCTGTCATCTTTGAGCGCGCTTCTGGCTTCACACGGCGCCTGGCAGCGCCATTGGCGTATCTGTCTGTCTCTGTCTGTCTGAAAACTGCACAGCACGCTTCTTTTTCAAAAGTCATCCTTGAAAACGACAGCTGCGAGCCAGGTTTGTCGTCCGTTTGCAGACATTTGTAGCTTGAAAGGAGCGCAATCGATGCGTTGTAGATCCCGTTGGCTCCGTTCGTCAGCCGGTCATCGCTGCTTGTATATTTGTGCCGATGAAATGATGCCACGTCGCCGGATCACTGCAGCAGCTCGCCAACAGTAACTTGAAAAACAACCTGACTGCGCTCGACGTAGTGGTCTACTCCAAATCGACGGCTGCCAAAGGGAAGAAAAGTGTTGGCGCCACCACAGCGTGCGTGACTGCTCACCGCAACGAGTCCCTGGAAGCATTAGGGCGCAAACAAATGTCACCATTGTCGAGATCAGGCTGCCGGTTATCAGTAAACTGTTGCGTCAGTCGTGTTTGTCCGGACTGAATCGTCTATGGCAGCTCTCTGGCTTTCCAGTAAGCGCAAAAATGACGATACCTGACGCCAGAAAAAGATGACCGAGTCTACCGCTGCCACCGCCCCTGCTGCTGGCGCCGCCAAGGCGGCCAAGGCAAAGGTGCCTCGCACCAAGCCGACGCACCCGCCCACCAACGAGATGGTCCAGGGAGCCATCAAAGGTCTGAAGGAGCGAGGAGGCTCGTCGCTGATCGCCATCAAGAAGTACATTGCAGCGAACTACAAGGTCGACGTTGAAAAGCTGGCGCCGTTCATCAAAAAGGCTCTCAAGACTGGCGTCACCAGCGGCGCCCTGGTGCAGACTAAAGGCAAGGGTGCCAGCGGATCGTTCAAGCTGTCTTCCGCTGCTGCCAAGCCGGCCAAGCCCGCCGCAAAGTCGCCTAAGAAGCCGGTGGCCGCGAAAAAGACACCAAAGAAGACTGCTGCCAAAAAGTCGGCGGACAAAAAGAAGACCGCCAAGTCTCCCGCCAAGGCCCAGAAGCCCAAGGCCAAGCCAACCAAAGCAAAGAAGGCCAAGTCGCCGGCGAAGAAGCCCAAGGCACCGAAGCCCAAAAAGACGGCTGCCAAAAAGCCTGCCGCCAAAAAGGCCCCGGCTAAGAAGTGAACGATGTGCCTGACCATTCCGCTGGCACATGTCAATGGCTCTTATCAGAGCCATCTAATCGTCTCGTCTTTGTCTTTTTAAGCACAGATGACATCTGGATCTCCCCACTCTCCTGGGAGACGACCATCCACTTCTCCTCGAAAAACTCTTCGCATTTCTGGCTGTTGCCGTTCAAGTGGCTGTTGCCGTTCAATGTGGCGAAGTGTAGCACGCTGCACCTGGGACCAACCAACCCGAGGAGTACATACGCCATCCAGGGGATTCCGCTGCAACAGACGAGCGTCGAGCGCGACCTGGGAGTTCTCGTGGACGAGCAGCTCAAGTTCCGAGAACAGGCTGCAGCTGCTGCATCGAGGGCCAACCGTGTACTCGGGCTTATCAAGCATGCTTTCTGTCAGTTAAACTGCAGCACACTACCACTTTTGTACAAGGCCATCGTAAGACCCATCCTCGAATATGGCAACCAGACCTGGGGTCCTTTTAACATGGCAGACAAGAAGCTCCTAGAACGCGTGCAGCGTAGGGCAACCAAACTCATCCCAGATCTTCAACACCGACCATACCAAGAAAGGCTACAAGTGCTGGGTCTGCCATCGCTGCAGTACCGCCGCAGAAGAGGTGACATGATCTCCATGTTCAACATGATGCACAGGAGGATTGGACTGGACAAGGAGAACTTCTTCAGCAAGCCTCGAGCCGCACAGACGAGGGGGCATCCATTGAAGGTGGCAAAACTTCAGGCTTCAACAAGGACACGCATCAACCACTTTACCACACGAGTCGTCAATGATTGGAACTCGTTGCCAGAGGACGTGGTGTGCGCCCCATCTGTGAATGCCTTCAAGCACAGATTGGACAAGCACTGGATTAACCTGGCATACGAGGCTCCAGATTGATGCAAGCCAGCCAGTGATCAAAAAGGTCATCCAATTCAAAAAGCTGGGAGCTCGTCAAGAGAGGATCGACCAGGCCACAGAGCCTTCCTAATCCTATCTTATCAGGTATCAGGTATCAGGTATTTCTCAAGGACGCGCAACTTCTCCACGAACTTCAACCCCCGGCCTGGCCTAGTGCCAGAAACTTCCTCCTCTCCTACATTCTTCTACGCCATTTTCTCTCCGCCGCGCCGTTGATTGTACGTGCTAATGATTGATCTTCCATTCTTGCTGTTGATGTTGTTCTTGTGATTTTTGTGATTATCGTTCGATGTTGTTCCCCCACCGCTTCTCATTCGCACTAATTGCTCCGTTGAATCGTCCATCTCGCCTAATCACCTGTGATTTACACGCGCGCTAACGGCGGCGGAGGCGCGGCACCGCGAACACTTAGGTGACTCCACATTGCGCGCTCCGATCACGTCGATTGGGCCGAGATCGTTGAGCGTCAACACCGACTGGGGGCTTAGCTTTTCCTGCTTGGCCTCCGGGCGCCCTTCTCGCGCGGAGTCACCTCCCTGTCCCTCTTCTTATCCCTCCTTGCATAGACGGTCTCCATATTACGCGCTCCGGTAAAGGCCCCGTGCAAACACTAACCGTCGCAGCGCCAACACCGACTGGAGGCTGAAGCTACATTAGCTTAAACGATACAGGTTTTTTCCCCGCGCTATTTTGGCTTCAGCGCGGGGTTTTTCCCTTTGCAATAGGCGCCGGGTTTTTCAGTTCATAGAACTTTTTCCCTGGCTATTACACCCCACAACCGAACACTGACACCTTGCACAAGTATGACTGTGTGTATGAATGTTAATAAATACATGAACCAATGTTGTGTTTGTGCAGCGAGAGAAGGCGGAGACTGCCGGAGACCCGTGTCCGTCGCCTCCAAAGTCCGCCAACAGCCCCATCTCAGCTCGCCTGGCGAGATACAGACAAATATACGAGGAAATGAGGGCGTATTTTGCTGCACAAGACCTTCCGCGGAGCCGCGACCCTCTGGATGATCCAGACCTGGCACCGTACCTCGTGCGCGGCGTAGATCGGTGCTAGGGTGTATCGTGTTATTCTAGAGTGTATGTATCGTGTAACTGTATCTATGTAGTGTGAATGGTAACAAATCTAAGTTACCGCGGTGTTAGCGGCCTATTCGCGAATGCGGTTACCGAGGTGCTACTGCCTCAGTCTGCGCTGCGTTCTCGTGCTGCCTTCTTGTGTTACAATGCAGTCTCCACTCGTAGCTGTTTAGAGTGTTCCCTACTGAGCGGTGGCGACTCATCCTTGCCGTTCGGATTGTTCTTTAGAACAGCAATAAATGTGATGTTGTGTTTTCGGTTCCAGCACCTTCTTTCGGCACTTCGGCAACAAGTAGGTACTACTCCGTTAGCTTTGCCGTTAGCTAAGTTTTGCATCCCGGCCAAAATTGCCGGTTTAACTGTCCCACCGCTCGAGACTGGCGCTAGGCTGGCCGAGCAAAAAAAAAAGGAATCGAAGCGATTCAAAACTGTTCCTTAACCCGCGCCCCGCTTGGGGAGGGCAGAAACTGCCCCCCCCCCCTCCTCCCGATTTTCGCCAATAACTTTTTAACGCGTTACGCCAGCGACGTCAAACTTTCAGCACCTTCTTACACATCAATTTTACACGTTCCCTGAAAATTTGAGCGAAATCCGTCGGAAAAATGTTTTAGAAAATGACGTTTTAGTGACGTCATGTTCGCCTAAAAAACTTAAGATTTCAAACGCCGCTAGTAGCTGCCACCGCTACGTCCCTTATCATGCGGTACTGTTGCGATTTCGATAGCGACCATGGTAAGTGCAGATCAGCGTCTGCTTCAAGCCGACGACCCGATGCAACATTGACCTGGATGTAAACATCTGTGCTGGAAGTCCACTATTTGATTTATTGGTCTTGAAAAAGACCTATTTGTGCTGCTAGGAGCGGCACCGGCCGGCATGGGAGGCGATGAGCGATGATCAGTGATGAGATGAAGCGAGCGTCGACCGGCACCGGCTGCCAGGCCAGCCAGCTTACTTGCTGCTCGTGTACTTGGTGACGGCCTTGGTCCCCTCCGACACGGCATGCTTGGCAAGCTCACCGGGCAGGAGCAGGCGGACAGCAGTCTGAATCTCCCTAGAGGTGATTGTCGAGCGCTTGTTGTAGTGCGCCAGACGCGAGGCCTCGGCAGCAATACGCTCGAAGATGTCGTTGACAAAGGAGTTCATGATGCTCATGGCCTTCGACGAGATACCGGTGTCGGGGTGGACCTGCTTCAGCACCTTGTAGATGTAGATGCCGTACGATTCCTTCCTCTTGCGCTTACGCTTCTTATCTCCCTTGGAGATATTCTTCTGGGCCTTGCCGGCCTTCTTTGCGGCCTTTCCGCTAGTCTTCGGTGGCATGGCGGCGCTTCGAGTGCAATACACTGTTAACACGAAACGGGTATGGTATGGTGCTGGTATTTGAATTCGGTTGATAAAGCGTAATGGCGGTGGGTGAGAGTGGGTGAGCACCGGTGTCCGGCACCGCTACGTCCCTTTTTAAATCCAGGTGTGAACGCAAATACGGGATTGCACGTTTGTTGCTACATCTTGTTCACATACAGCCATGTCTGGACGCGGCAAGGGCGGCAAGGTGAAGGGAAAGGCCAAGTCCCGGTCCTCCCGGGCCGGACTTCAGTTCCCTGTCGGTCGTATCCATCGTCTCTTGCGTAAGGGAAACTATGCCGAGCGCGTCGGTGCCGGTGCCCCCGTGTACCTGGCTGCCGTCATGGAGTACCTGGCCGCTGAGGTGCTCGAGCTGGCCGGCAACGCTGCGCGCGACAACAAGAAGACCAGGATCATCCCTCGCCACCTGCAGCTGGCCATCCGCAACGACGAGGAGCTGAACAAGCTCCTGTCGGGCGTCACCATCGCCCAGGGCGGTGTGCTGCCAAACATCCAGGCGGTGCTCCTGCCCAAGAAGACCGAGAAGAAGTAAGCCTGCATCTGGCTCAGTCGACTCGAACCCTGTAACAGGCCTTTTTAAAGGCCACACAATACTAATGGAACTGGTCACAGGTCACTTTCATAACAACGCGCCGGCTTATCACGCTATCTGGGGAGCACCCAGAGCTGTTTCCGTTGGCGTGAACCGTTAACGCCCCGTGGGGGGGGGGAGGGTGAAACGGCCCCTCCCGTGGACCTATCAGCAATTTGAGCTTTCATTACATTAATTATTATTTTAAATTCCGAAATTCAAGTGCCTAATGGTATGATAGTGAGTGTACATAGCTATTCTAATGTGTAATGCCTGCCTGCCTATTCTAACGCCTATTGGACGCAACGTTTAATGCTAGTAAATGTAACGCTAACGGGTGCTTTATGCGAATTCTGTAATGTGATTTGCTTGCGAGTTTCGCAACGGTATTGATCGTAGGGGGCTTAATCCTTACCAAAAGGTGAACACAGATGACTGTGTTGGTCTCCTTTGCTTTCCCCCAGCATTCAGCGTTGGAATTGTGGGTTTACCGTCCCTCTTATTAAAGTTATCTAACTTTTTGTAGCTTCGTCAGGTTAGACGCGACGCGCGTGGCGATATCCGGCGGCCGCTGGCGGAACTACCGCGCACGGGCCTGGCGGCCGCCAGTGGAACTACTGCGCAGGTGGCAGCACCTGCCCGTGGAGAAGCGGCTGGCAATCGGCCGCCCCACTCCCCACCCCGCCCCCACCCAGCTGGCCGCCAGACCGTGGGAACGACTCGGCTCAGCGCTGCCGGCCGCTGGACGGGGAAACCCCGCCCCGCCGCCCGACACACTGCCGCCGGGCCGGCCGGTGGAATTTTCCAGCCGTCGGCCGGTGTTTATTTTTTCGAAGGAAGAGTTTGACGTACTTATATTTACAAATTCCACTCCCTCTCGGTCCCCACTAACCTGCATTTCTGGCGCGTCCGGGTTCATCCCGGTGAGGAAATCCGGGCGGTCCAGTACGGGCGAGACGCCGGCGCGCGGCGGCGCGGACGGCCCGTCACAACTCACATAAGGTACAGACGGGAGAGATCGACCACACTCCCGCGTAAAATAAAACGTATCTAAAAGCGTATCTTATCATCAAGGTCGCAAACACTCAGCTCGCAGTCCAACACACGGGTGGAAACTGACGCTAGCGTCTCAGGGCTCACTTCCGCCCCCCCCCTCCCAGTCTCCCCTCACTGCCACCCCATCCTGAACACCCCAGGGGTCTCCCCATAGCGTCACCCCCTCGCATTCCCGGCGGTCCCCTTACCGCCGCCCCGCCCTCCCACACCTCGGCGGCCGAGGCGGCCGGCCGGCCCGCCGCTTTCCGCCCAATGTCCTCATTTGATGATATCTAAATTTGGCGCTCTCCAGATCGCCAGAATTCTAGAAATGGCCGATGAGAATACGATTATATGTGTATTACATAATCCGTTGAGCAATGAGTGGAGTCAATTTGGACGTAACTATGTTCACAGTTGAATGGAAGCCAAATAAGCCGACGAGGGTCTCAATGTCTGAAAATCGCTAAATTTAAGCGCTTATCAAATACAAGAGGGTGAAGGGAAACAAACATAGCGGGACCCAGGTGGTCGACAAAGACCTTCTCGACACGTTGGCGAGGTTCTAAGGCGTCTAACATATACCCGGTGTGCGCCACGTCTGGCTGTTTCGGGTGTCCTCATATGAGGACACTGAGCGCTAATGGGTTCTCACATACAATCCTCACGAAAACATACCTTTATCGAAGAATAATCAGAGAAATGTACAGAAAGGGCAAGGTTTCCGAATATTCTTACGGAAATGTGTTTCTATGGTAAATTTGGCGGAATGCCTTTTATGGTGACATCTCTGTCTCCCTTATAAAACTCACGGGTCGGAAACATACCATTGCGAAACAAATATTCGGAACACAGCAGCGAAAAGAGACTGAGCCGCTTCCGAATTTTCTCACGGAAATACACTCTAATGGTGTATTTGGCGGGATGTCTTTCATGGTGACATCCCAGTCTCCAATAAAATCCTCACGGAAACATATCTTTGCGAAGAATACTTGGAACACAGCATCGGAAATGACACGGCGACGCTTCCGAATTTTTTTCACGGAAATATACTCATGTGATGTATCTGTCGGACTGTTTGTCATGGTCACATCTCAGTACCCAATGTAATCCTCACGGAAAGATACCTTCATCAGTAACGGGGCCAACCTATTGGCTGTCAGGGGCTCGAACGTGGTGAGCCGGAAGATGATTGTCGGTTCGGGGAGGGAGGGTCGGGGCAGAGGGGTGTGAGGAGACCCGAGGCGTGGCGCGGCAGAGAACTGAGAGCGCGGCCCGAGTCCAGGGAGGGGGGGGGGGGAGGGGACCGGGCAAGGCCGAGCCGAGATAAGGCACGCATTGTTCACAGAGGGAGGGAGGGGACGGGGCTGTCTCGCAGGACAACATATCCACAGATGGTTGAGCAGTCCAGGACGAGAGCTCGGAGGTGCAGACGGCCAACATATAAACTTTAATGATGAACATCAAGCTAGTAACATGCATACTGACACCAGATCGTACCAACCTGAACCGGACTATGGAATCCAATTCGTTGAAGATATGTTACATGTCACATGAGCTGTCAAAGACGCATATTTATGGATGCATGCATTGCAGTCCCTGCCACGCCTGTCAGGCATGGCAGGTGCTGTCCCTACCAGCCATATGCTCCATTCACAGTTGCAGCGGTTGCTGTACATTAGCGTCATCTATGATTCACGAAAAGTCTCACGATGTTGTACCCATTTCCCGCATTATCTACGGTGGTATTAGTTCGTGAGAGAAAACGTGAACGCCCATAAGGTGTGCTGGAAGGTGGTTTTCCGAAAAGTCTCACGATATTGTACGCCATTCCCGACAAGTCTACGGTGATACATTTTCGTGAGAAAAACCGGAAAACCAGCTCACAGGACTCTGACACCGCACCGTGTGTCATTTTGACACGGAACTGGTGTCAATCGCTTTTCCGAATTTTCTCATGGACACATATGTACCTTGCCGAAGAATATTCGGAAAATAGTACGGAGAGTGCGAGGGAGCAGTTTCCGAATTTTCTCACGAAGTTTGACGCGCTGGGGCGCGGCAGTGAGCCGGAACATCCGGGAGCTCTGGTCGCGCCTGGGGCAGGGATGCGGGCCCGAGGCTAGATGCTCGGCGCTGGCCGTAGGACAGTTCCGCGCGACGACCCCTGTCAGTCCCGCCCCTCACCCCACCCCCCGCGGTGCCGGTCTCGGGTCCCGTCTGCCCCTACTTTGGCGCCATCTACGATTCACGAAAAGTCTCACGATGTTGCACCCAGTTCCCGGATTATCTACGGTGGTACAATTTCGTGACAAATACCAGAAAACATGGTCCTGGCCAAGGCTATATAAACCAGGTAGAACGCTCCCGACGAAAAAGTGGTGACAAGCGATAATTAGTAGCCGCGACCCTCTTTTGTTCAAAACTATATCCGCAAGCAGCATTTACAGGCTAGCGGAAATCGACCAATCGGCGTTCGGCAATACTCAACGCTGATTGGCCCGATGCTCGTGACGAAATTGCGGGGGACTGCAGCTATTCCCCTATGGCGTTTAATAGACTTACGGCTTTTGAAGGGGATTTGTACCAGTTTTTGTTGGGTTTGAGGCCATTTTTGAGCTTGGATATTCTTTCTGTGACTTTTGACTGTGTAATAACGACATTTAATCATAACATTTCTATATACTACCGGTGTCACATCGACCAAAAAGACCGTAAGTACATGGGATAGACGGACCACTGCTGATGGGGCCACACATGCCGGCGTGTGGTCATCGGAGGCCCATGAGGGCTCGACATAGGCCCTTCATGGGTCGGTATAGGCCCGGTGGGTCCAGTGCAAGCCTATCAGGGGCCGGTGCTGACCCAACAGGGCCCAGTGACATATAATGTAAGGCCGTCTAGGGACGTTGAGGGCTCATGGGGGCCATATAGGACCAATAGGGACCACATAAGCCAATCAGGGGCCATTTAGGCCAATAAAGGCACTTCAAGGGACTTGAAAAGGTCATTCAAGAGCTGTGGTGGGCCCATGAGAGGACGGCACTGGTCCAGCAGGTGCAGTCAGGGGATGTTGTACGGGTTTCTCAGTGGCCCATTTGGGCATATCAGTGACCAATTTAGACCCAGCAGTGGGCTTTGTAGACCTATCAGGGGCTGGTGATGGTTCATCAGGGGCCAGCGTTAGTCCATCGGGGCACGGCATATGCCCATCAGAGGTAATTGCGAGCCCACGCTGAACAATGCTGGCCCTTCAACGGCCCCATGGATCTACATTGACCCATGGGCCATGATGTGTCATGTATGCCCCTATGACAGGCCTACTCAGACCCCTGATGGACGTTCCCGGCCTCTGATGACCCTATGCTGAATGCAATTTAGACCCAGCAGTGGGCTTTGTAGACCTATCAGGGGCTGGTGATGGTTCATCAGGGGCCAGCGTTAGTCCATCGGGGCACGGCATATGCCCATTGCCCATCAGAGGTAATTGCGAGCCCACGCTGAACAATGCTGGCCCTTCAACGGCCCCATGGATCTACATTGACCCATGGGCCATGATGTGTCATGTATGCCCCTATGACAGGCCTACTCAGACCCCTGATGGACGTTCCCGGCCTCTGATGACCCTATGCTGAATGCTGATGGGGCTCTAAGAGTCTCCAATAACCCTTCGTCACCCCATTATTACCATACGCTGGCATTAGGGACCCCACATCAGCCGCAGGGCAGTCCGTACCATGACAGCATGTCTTTTCGGCCGATATTTCATCGGTAATATTTATCAAAATCATGATTTTATGGTGCCATTATATAGGTAACAGTCATAAGAAATATATTTCAACTCGAAAACAGCTCGAAACAGCATATAATTTAAAAGAAACCCCTCCGAAATCCAAAAGCCTATTCGGGTCCATAGAGAATAACTGCGGTCCCCCGCAATTTCGTCACGAGCGTCGGACCAATCAGCGTCGAGTACCGCCGAGCGCTGATTGGTGAATTTTCCGCTAGCGTGTAAGTACTGCTCACGGAACAAGAGTTCGTCGACAATCCTCCACAAACGTCTGTCACCATTTTTCATAATGCTTAACAGCCGGAGCGTACCCCCCTGGTCCTGGCTTAAGGGGCTGTGACGGAGTACCGTTCGTCAGGTCGACACGGGACTGGTGTCAATCGCTTTTCCGAATTTTCTCATGGACACATAGGTGCCTTGCCGAAGAATATTCGGAAAATAGTACGGAATGTGCGAGGGAGCAGTTTCCGAATTTTCTCACGAAGATATCCTTCGGGGATGATTGGCGTCTCAATAATGTAATACAGTCAATCGGTGAAAATCTTTCAGATTAAGTGTGGCCTTTAAAAAGGCCTGTTGTTCGTGGGGCTTTCGTCGCGAGGCATTCCGCTTAACCGCCGAAGCCGTACAGTGTGCGGCCCTGGCGCTTCAGAGCGTAGACGACGTCCATGGCGGTCACCGTCTTGCGCTTGGCGTGCTCGGTATAGGTGACAGCGTCGCGGATGACGTTCTCCAGGAACACTTTGAGAACGCCGCGCGTCTCCTCGTAGATGAGGCCGCTGATGCGCTTGACACCGCCACGACGAGCCAGGCGTCGAATAGCAGGTTTGGTGATTCCTTGAATGTTATCACGCAAAACTTTACGATGCCGCTTAGCTCCTCCTTTACCCAATCCTTTGCCGCCCTTGCCACGTCCCGTCATCTTGGCGAGTAATTGGTGGTACCTACCTTCAGCGCCAGGTAGGTTCGATAAGTACAGGTGTTGCCGTCTGTGTGCCAAGCGGGTAGCCTCTTGAAAAAGAACGCATGCTGTACATTTGTACAATCGTGCGCTTTCAAAATTCAAGTCTATGTCTTAGAGAAAAAAACCCGCGAAACTTAACCCACGCAATGGCTCGCACAAAGCAGACAGCACGCAAATCCACGGGCGGTAAGGCACCGCGCAAGCAGTTGGCCACTAAGGCGGCTCGCAAGAGTGCGCCGGCCACTGGCGGCGTCAAGAAGCCACACAGGTACCGGCCCGGCACAGTGGCACTGCGTGAGATCCGCCGCTATCAGAAAAGCACCGAGCTGCTCATCCGCAAGCTGCCGTTCCAGCGGCTCGTGCGCGAGATTGCCCAGGATTTCAAGACTGACCTGCGCTTCCAGAGCAGTGCCGTTATGGCCCTGCAGGAGGCCAGCGAGGCCTATCTGGTCGGCCTCTTCGAGGACACCAACCTGTGTGCCATCCACGCCAAGCGTGTTACCATCATGCCCAAGGACATTCAGCTGGCGCGTCGCATCCGCGGCGAGCGCGCCTAGGCCGCTTGTGCCGTTGCCGTGCTCCGGCAGGCTGGCAAGCAAGAAACAGGTCCTTCTCAGGACCAGAGAGGTGTTGCGTAGATTGCCTGATCGGATTTTTGCCGCTTTGTGGACTACAGGACGCTTTGGGGACTGGGGACTACCTAAACCAACCTAGCCTGACCAAACAGAACTTTACCTAACCTAACCTAACCTTAACTAGCCAAACCGAGCCCCTAACCCAACCCACACGAACCTAACCCAAACTAACCTAACCTAACTTTACCTAACGCAACCCAAACTTGACTAAACGAACTGAACCTAACCTAACCCAACCCAGCCTTAACTAGCCGAAACGAACCTAACCTAACCCAACCTTACCCAGCCTAGCCTAGCCTAGCCTAACCTAACCTAACCTAACCTAACCTAACCGTCTCCCCAACGGCGACGAGGAAAAAGTTACTCGCAGAAATTAATCAATTCCTGCGAATTAATAATAATTCATTAATTATTATTAATTCGCAAATTTAATTAATTATCTATTAGTGATTAATCTATATTATGATTTATAAGTTGTCCGTGCGTGCGTAATCCGTCATGCCTTATGTGTCTTATTGCGCCTGAAAGGCGCCGCGTATCGACGTGAAATTTGGCATGCCGAATCTGTGGGCGTGGGCGGCCTTTGTATTAAAATTTGGGACGGATTAGCCCAGGGGTGCGCCGTCGGCACGTGCAAAAGGGTGCTCCCATAGGCTTAACACGTGGCCGGCGAAAATCGGGCCTGCAGCGCTCCTTTCCCGGGCTTATAACTCGGCGATGGGAGGCTGCAGGGAGATGGGGTGGCCACCATTGGATAGACGAGAGATGGGCCTATCGTATTGATATAGTTTCATAGCATAGCACGCGCCACGTGCAAGACAGCACCCCCAGTTGCGAAAAAATGACCGATTTCATGCATTGTGGGAAGAAAACCGATGCCGCTGGAAAACGGCTTGACGGAATGAAGTCGGTATTGTATCGTTTTGCAGACAAATGTACGTGTAATAATAGGAAAGCAAATAAAAAGTGACGATCCGTACCATTTCTTTAATAATGAAAAATTAATTTGAAAATTTGATTTGCACGGAGCGCGATGTCCTTTACAACACCAAAATGTATTGAAAACGATGATCAATCGTTATGAAACCTACATATTCGGAAAGAGCATTCTTTTCTGACCAATATCCACCCAAGATATTATCGAAAAGTCAATAAACTTTTGTGAAAATGACTCAAGCATGCGACCGTGTTTTGATAACGTTACGCGTATTTTCCGACGAAATCGGATCGGTGGCTTCGGCAGACAGGCCCAGGCAGGCTATTGAACCTTTGACAACAAACGGTAGCGGGTAGAGTAGGGTAGGGTAGGGGTAGGATAGTGTAGGAGTAGGGTAGGGTAGGGTAGGGGTAGGGTAGGGTAGGGTAGGGGGTAACGGTAGCGCTGGCTTACACCTTCTCCGCCGGCGCCAAGGTTGAAACTAATCAAGGTCATATATTTAATGGAATAACCTTCTGTTCAAAGTTCTAGAAATTGCCAAAAGTTACCAAAAACACTTGAATATATTTCGGAGGCGTTCCTTCATCGGTTCAAGTGACTTGAACCGATGAAGGAACGCCTCCGAAATATATTCAAGTGTTTTTGGTAACTTTTGGCAATTTCTAGAACTTTGAACAGAAGGTTATTCCATTAAATATATTACATATAATGCTGTTCACCAGAGTGCTTCGTCATCTAATCAAGGTCACGTTTATTGATGTCCGTGAAATTAGCGTCAGCAACAGCAACGAATACAGCGTCGGATTCAGAATCGCTTCAAAAACTCATATCAGGTCAATTGGGGGACGGGGAGCAAGAATATGACCTTTATTTAGCCCTAGCTCTTACCCCTTACCCCTTAATCGGCCCTTAAAAGAAGGGGCGCGTCAAAAGTACCTCAAGGGTTCGTCTGATCGCCAAAATAAGGGCGGCAATCGATTCCTCGGGTCAATATCTAGCCGCAGCCTTGGGTTCCAGATGTGTGCATCTTACCCCTTACCCCTTAATCGGCCCTTAAAAGAAGGGGCGCGTCAAAAGTACCTCAAGGGTTCGTCTGATCGCCAAAATAAGGGCGGCAATCGATTCCTCGGGTTAATATCTATCCGCAGCCTCGGGTTCCAGATGTGTGCATCTTACCTCTTACCCCTTAATCGGCCCTTAAAGGAAGGGGCGCGTCAAAAGTGCCTCAAGAGTTCGTCTCATCGCCAAAATAAGGGCGGCAATCGATTCCTCGGGTCAATGTCAATATCTAGCCGCAGCCTCGGGTTCCAGATGTGTGCATCTTACCCCTTACCCCTTAATCGGCCTTTAAAAGAAGGGACGCGTCAAAAGTGCCTCAAGAGTTCGTCTGATCGCCAAAAAAAGGGCGGCAATCGATTCATCGGGTCAATATCTAACCGCAGCCTCGGGTTCCAGATGTGTGCATCTTACCCCTTACCCCTTAATCGGCCCTTAAAGGAAGGGGCGCGTCAAAAGTGCCTCAAGGGTTCGTCTGATCGCCAAAATAAGGGCGGCAATCGATTCCTCGGGTCAATATCTAGCCGCAGCCTCGGGTTCCAGATGTGTGCATCTTACCCCTTACCCCTTAATCGGCCCTTAAAAGAAGGGGCGCGGCAAAAGTACCTCAAGGGTTCGTCTGATCGCCAAAATAAGGGCGGCAATCGATTCCTCGGGTCAATATCTAGCCGCAGCCTCGGGTTCCAGATGTGTGCATCTTACCCCTTACCCCTTAATCGGCCCTTAAAAGAAGGGGCGCGGCAAAAGTACCTCAAGGGTTCGTCTGATCGCCAAAATAAGGGCGACAATCGATTCCTCGGGTCAATATCTAGCCGCAGCCTCGGGTTCCAGATGTGTGCATCTTACCCCTTACCCCTTAATCGGCCCTTAAAGGAAGGGGCGCGTCAAAAGTGCCTCAAGGGTTCGTCTGATCGCCAAAATAAGGGCGGCAATCGATTCCTCGGGTCAATATCTAGCCGCAGCCTCGGGTTCCAGATGTGTGCATCTTACCCCTTACCCCTTAATCGGCCCTTAAAGGAAGGGGCGCGTCAAAAGTGCCTCAAGGGTTCGTCTGATCGCCAAAATAAGGGCGGCAATCGATTCCTCGGGTCAATATCTAGCCGCAGCCTCGGGTTCCAGATGTGTGCATCTTACCCCTTACCCCTTAATCGGCCCTTAAAAGAAGGGGCGCGGCAAAAGTACCTCAAGGGTTCGTCTGATCGCCAAAATAAGGGCGGCAATCGATTCCTCGGGTCAATATCTAGCCGCAGCCTCGGGTTCCAGATGTGTGCATCTTACCCCTTACCCCTTAATCGGCCCTTAAAGGAAGGGGCGCGTCAAAAGTGCCTCAAGGGTTCGTCTGATCGCCAAAATAAGGGCGGCAATCGATTCCTCGGGTCAATATCTAGCCGCAGCCTCGGGTTCCAGAAGTGTGCATCTTACCCCTTACCCCTTAATCGGCCCTTAAAAGAAGGGGCGCGGCAAAAGTACCTCAAGGGTTCGTCTGATCGCCAAAATAAGGGCGGCAATCGATTCCTCGGGTGAATATCTAGCCGCAGCCTTGGGTTCCAGATGTGTGCATCTTACCCCTTACCCCTTAATCGGCCCTTAAAAGAAGGGGCGCCTCAAAAGTGCCTCAAGGGTTCGTCTGATCGCCGAAATAAGTGTCGCAATCGATTCATCGGGTCAATATCTAGCCGCAGCCTCAGGTTCAAAAAGGCCGATAAAGGGGTAAGGGGTAAGATGCACACATCTTGAACCCGAGGCTGCGGATAGATATTGACCCGAGGAATCGATTGCGACCCTTATTTTGGCGATCAGACAAACGCTTGAGGCACTTTTGACGCGCCCCTTCCTTTAAGGGCTGATTGAGGGGTAAGGGATAGGATGCACACATCTGGAACCCGACGCTGCGGCTAGATATTCACCCGAGGAATCGATTGCCGCCCTTATTTTCGCGATCAGACGAACCCTTGAGGCACTTTTGACGCGCCCCTTCCTTTAAGGGCCGATTAAGAGGTAAGGGGTAAGATGCACACATCTGGAACCCGACGCTGCGGCTAGATATTCACCCGAGAAATCGATTGCCGCCCTTATTCTGGCGATCAGACGAACCCTTGAGGCACTTTTGACGCGCCCCTTCCTTTAAGGGCCGATTAAGAGGTAAGGGGTAAGATGCACACATCTGGAACCCGACGCTGCGGCTAGATATTGACCCGAGAAATCGATTACCGCCCTTATTCTGGCGATCAGACGAACCCTTGAGGCACTTTTGACGCGCCCCTTCCTTTAAGGGCCGATAAAGGGGTAAGGGGTAGGGTGCACACATCTGGAACCCAAGGCTGCGGCTAGATATTCACCCGAGGAATCGATTGCCGCCCTTATTTTGGCGATCAGA